TGTCTCGAACCCGCGGGCTCAGGCAATCTACTCACCTCAGCCTCCCAAAGGCGCGGGATTACAGGCTGAGCCACCGAGCCCGGCTTGTATCTGCGTTCTTGCAGTCCTGCGCTCGTTCCCTAACTGAGCACCCGCTATGTTCCAAGTGCAAAGATTCAAAACCCCCTGCTCGACCTCGATGAAAGGTTTTTCTAGATCCCAGCCCTTGTCGACTTAAAAGGAAGAAGTTAGAGCTAATTGATATAGTAGAGGGTTTATTTTTGCCAAGCCTGAGGACTGCAGCCCGGGAGCGGCGATTCAAGTTGCCCTGAATATACACTTCGATTAACCGCAGTGACGAGTAGGTTTTTAAAGGAAACGAAGAGAGGCAGTTCCTAATTTGTTTGCCAATAATTTACATTAAAATGACAAGCTATTGGCCAGGCCGAGGCGGGAGGGTCGCTTGAGCTCGGGAGTTGGAGGCTGCAGTGAGCTATATGATGGTGCCACTGCACTTCAGGCTGGGTGAAAGAGTGAGAGACCCTGTCTCTAAAACGTAAATAAATAAAATCACAAGCTCCTGACTGGCTATACATTGTCCTTCATACCACAGTTGTATCTACACAGGAACTTGAAGATAATGGGTGGGGCAGCCAGTCAGGAACAAAATATCTTTAAACAATTGCCCCCAGGTTTTTCTTTAACTCTTAAAAAATAAAAAAAAAAAGCAGGGTGCAGTGGCTCACACCTGTAATCCCAGCACTTTGAGAGGTGAAGGCAAGAGGATTGTCTAAGCCCAGCGGTTCAAGACCCGCCTGGGCAATTTGGCAAGACCTCATCTCTACAATAAATCAAGAAAAATTAGCCAGACGTGGTGGCGCATGCCTGTAGTCCAGCTACTTGGAAGGCTGAGGTAGAAAGATTACCTGAGCCCAGCAGGTCAAGGCTGCAGTGGCCGCGAGCAGTGTACCACCGCACTCCAGCCTGGGCAACAGAGTGAGACTCCAAGTCAAAATTAATTAATTAATTAAAATTTTTTTGAAAATTGCCCCCTGGGCATGGATGTGTGTGGTGACTTATTTATGAATGATTCCCTGGTCTCTCTGGACTTGATGAGCTTTGCATACATCACAGCTCAGACTGCTCTGAGTGATTTTTCTTTTCTCATCTCCTGCTGTGTACACTATGCCTTATCCAACTGCTCAATGCTTGTTAATTGAGGAAAGATGCAGACCCCTGAGACTAAAAAGCTCTTATGGCAGATAAGAGAGAACATCACGGTTTTATTTGCCACGATAAAACTTCACTGTCTAGGCACGACAGGTGCTCAGGGCATTGTTGCTCAGGGCATTGTTATTCGTGGGGACGGGAAGGAAGGTGGAGTCTCTGCCTTCCTGCTGAAGGTACTCAGCTCTCTAAGACAGTAGGAGTAAAAGAATTCACAAGGCCAGCTGAAAACTCCACAACAGTTCACCACTTGGGGCAGGCTGGGGAGTCAGCAAAGACCTTAAGTGGGGCACTTGCCATAAGCTAAGCCTCAGAGGAAGGGTGTAATTAGATCGCTGGAAAAAGGAGAGAGAGAGAAAAAAAGTTATACTTAACAGGAGTTGTTTGAGAAAAAGAGGGGAGGCTCGAGCATGTAGGGAACAGGAAGCCTCCTGCTTTATTTGAGGGGAAGAAGGGTTAAGTTGGGTCATTGAAAGGACATATAAGACGGAGTCAACATACCCAATGAACATCCATTTTAACATTGCATAGCTTTGGCATGTTTTTCTAGCAGTTCACTCTAATTTACCCTCTAATCACTAGCCAAGGATAGAACCAGTTTCTCAGAGGTAGCTATTGATAATTGTTTTACAACCTCCTCCCCAGCTTACTTTATCAATAAGTTAACCTAATCACCCCTTCATGACTCAGACTAGATCAACATGGCAGCAATCATGTGACTGACCCACCCATCTGCCTGCCATCCATCACCTGACTTCAGTAGCTGTCCCCTTTGTGATGATGTGGAAAAGATCACTGAAAGGACAGACCGAGAATGGGAAGCCATTTTTCATCTTGTTCTTAAACCCTGACACACTGATCAGAAAGTAGTGTAGTGGCCGAAAGTTCAATCCGAGAGACCACCAAGAGCCAATTCCGATGAACGTTCAAGAGGGTCTTTATTTACAAGCTTGAGCCTGGACCTCTGTCAACAACCAACACAGTGGAGTACATTCAGAGGCTCTGATTTCTTTAAGCAGATGCCTTTTATGCTTTTACACAAAGGGAGGAGGAGTTTGGGGGGCTTTCCAGTTTTGTTACCATTTAATTGGGTAGTTCCTCTGGTGGTCAGCTTAATCGTGGAGGATTGGCTAGCCTGACTCGGGCTGACCTTGGTCCACTAGCTAGGGAAGTTGCAGAGACATCTGGAAACTTGGGTGATTACCCCCTGGCACCTGATTGGTTGTTGCTAAGGGAAAGTGAGATAAGGGAAGAATAACTGGAGCTTTGCAGTTTTTCCCATAACTGGAACTTTAAACAGTTACAGGTTATGTTTTAAGACAGAAAACCAAAAACTAAAAATGGCTGTGCTATTGTCCACAAGCCGATTACATATTTATTGGGTTATAGCATGCTCTTAACCTAAGTCTATGGTATATTTTATTACTGTCCTCTCAGTAGAAGGTATGCTTTTGGAGAAATGCACACTGTAGGTATAATTAACTTTACCGACTTTGTCTTTTCAGAAACAGACTTCCAGGTATCAGAGGTATCTCATAGTGGCAATCAGAGGTATCTCATAGTGCCTAGAGTAAAGGGAATTTACAAGGGCTAAGATATCATGCATTGGGCAAGGACTGTAAAAGTCATGAAACTTGTAATTACAAAAGTTATAACCGCTCAGAGGGAGAGCAGGTGGGGATTCGATCTTCCAGTAAATTGAGCACTATCTACGGGGAAGCCAAGGATCCCCAGAAGCTACCCACTGGGAATGCCTAGGAGATAAAGGGAGGTACACCCTCCATTAGGTCTAAGGAATGTCGTTTGAGAAGGCGCAGGAGAATTAGAATCCTTGTCACGCCCTTCTCTAGGGGTTATGATATTGTGGGCGAACATTAGTGGGTCTCTGTGTCACAGGTTCTCCAGGACATCCACAGGTGATCGATAAGGAAGTCACAGCAGTCACGGCAGTCATGTGCAACATCTCCAAGGAGAGGATTTAAGCCAGGACTCTGGGAGGCTACGACGCCACACTCACCTAGAGTGTAGGCCCACTCCCTGTCTGTGAGGGGTGAACTTTTCTTAAATAAATCTTTTCTTCTCTCACCTCTGTGTGTCAAAATTCTTTGCAATTTACTCGGATCTCTGGGTTCCCAGCACGCACCTCTGGCTTGCCAGCCCCAGTGGTGCTATGCGCCTCCTCTTCCTCACCCTGTCCAGTACCCTAACAACCACCACCCAATCACCTTAACGATGTGCCCCACACCAAAGGGAAGGTCTAGAAGCTTTCAACTTCAAGCAGCCATTCGCCATGGCTTTGTTCAACTCTGGGTGTCCACGTGGCTTTTTGAGCTATGGCCACCATGTTTCCTAGCTTTGGCCACTCTCCTACTTTGGGGAGGAGAATCTCTTCTCTCTCTCTGTCTATCTGTCTCTCTCTCTTTCTAATTTATTTTCTAAATAAACTATATCTTCCAATCTAACTTCTCTGCAATTCTTTGCAACTTATGCGTGGCACCAGATCACAGACCAGACACCATCACCCCCAACAGGTCCGACCTAACATCTTGGAGGCGCTGCTGGGCTTTTTTTTTTCCCCACCCCTGCCCTGGACTTTCTTTCTTTCTTTTTTTTTTTTTTTTTTTTTTTTT